AAGGACCAATGATTAAAAAGAAAGGAAAATTCAGATTGCAAAATTGAAATGCTTTGAAAGTTCCATGAGCCTTCTAACTACTTGTTTAGCTACCAGAGGTCAGATTTGTAGATGTATTTAAGCATTCATATACCTCAGTTACTTACTTGTAAACAGGAACGTACGTACAATCCTATCTCGGAGGCTACAGGATTAACACTTTGAGATTAACAGTTTGATTAACACTAGAGATGTGGGTACCTTCTGCAATGTTAGTGAATACTGTAGCTATCAAAAGCACTGATAGATACATTTAGATTTGTTTGTTGAGGGGATCCAACACAGAAATTTTTCCTGTTCCTTTCAATAAAAGGTGGGACAAGCTGTAGTTTGGTGACTCCTTTCCTAGTTTCTTTATTAGCTATGCTGATGTGTGTGCAGCACATGGAAAATACAGAGCAATTATAAGACTATGGACAGCTTTTATTTCCCTCTTGCAGTGTCAACATGTTGAGGAAACAAAGTGCTGCTTCTGAATTTCTGTATAGCTCAGAAGGAGGACAACATCCAATAAAAATCTTGTTAAAAAGTAGCTGATTATGTTGTTTTATGGGTAGGAGCATGAGAGGTTTTTTGAGAGCTTTTTTATCGATTCAGTTGAATCACTGTCTGAAGGAAGCAAATTTAGACAAGACATTAAAGGAACAAGTTTAGCCCTACTGCAGGAGGATACTGTAATGAATTTTCTGTGTGGTGTTTGAATTTTTTCACTGAACTATCTCACTGAAATGAAACAGGAAAGGGCCTTTTTTTTCTTTAACTTACCTTGCTGGAAGCAAGTGATTTGTGAGTGCATGTACCTCTTGTGTTCTTGAAACTGGAAGCTGAGAGAGTTTCAGATGCCTAAATATGAAGCTGGAACCGAAACACTTTAGTTGACTAAGGCTATCAAGTATGAAAAATGAGTTCACAAGAAGATTTTGTGCAAAGTGCTGCTGAGGCTGGTTTATATTAGGAAAACTGGAGGGCTGATAGGAAATAGCATGGCAGGGGGTTCTTTCTGCCTCTGGTTTGCCAGTGTCTGTGCAGGGTAAGTAAGCACTGCTAGAAGATGTTGAACTTTTCTGTGTGTTCCTTTCTGAACTTGCTATTTTGGGGGAAAGAGAATAATTCCCATGTGCATAGGAAAAATACATCCCCTCTTTGGCAGTACTTTTCTCAGTAGCAATGACTGTCCTGTGTGTGCTGTAGGAACAAGAAGAGCTTGAGAGGAAATATGTGCCTATCAATAGAGATGAGTAGTGGCTAAATTCTAGGTTTGCAGTTTATTTAGTGGTCTTCAAAATTCCTGTTTGGTTGCCTAGTGTCCTGGTTTAGGACAAATTAGGGGAAATCTCCAAAAGGGAGCCCCCTAAAAAAAACCTCCAACCACCCCTCCCCCAATACCGGGTTCGGGAAGGAATTCCTCGGAGGAGCACAGTGGAAAACAAAACCTATTTATTAACAAATAACAAAAGGACACTCCCCAACACAAGAAAAGAAAAGAAAACCAGGCAGTGCTGTGGAGGGCGCTGAGCTTCTCTCGCAGACTCCGGGGGTCCTGGACGTCCCAGGTCAGATCCGGAGCCGGTCCAATATCTTCAGGGGAGGGTAAGAAAGAGGGAACGAAAGAAAAAGGAAAAAAAAAACCAGCGTAGAAAGCAGAAAGCGGCAAACAGCAGCTAGCAGCCGAGGCAGGAGCAAGCAAGCCAGCCAAGCCAAGCAGCCAAAAGCAAAAGCCAAGGTGCCTGGTCACACTCACACCCCTCCCTCCCCGCCCCGCCGCGGCAAGACGGCCGGGGGAGGAAAAGGCGCAGCTGCCAGACACAACACACGATATTGGGATAAAGGCTGTCACCCCACGACACCTAGGTATTTTAAGAGTTGGCAAAAGGGCTTCATTTTTTCACATACGTATGTATAAACAACAGTTTTTAATGGCCCAGTGAAAGGCAGGTCCCTTTGGACTAACAAAGATGCAATAAGCACAAGAATTCCATTTGCCTGGTAAAAAGGTGTTTGAGGTGGAGATTCAATCATCAATCACCCGTCTTTGTTTCTTCTAGCTCCAGGAATTTTCTTGGTAGTACTTGAATCAGGAGAATGAATCCCTGATTAAGACAGTCTCCTGGCAGATAAGAGAACAGAAATACTTCCTAATCTCTGATCTTTATGAGTGCCTAAAAGCTGCATCTCCCAGTGCATCTGAAAGAAGTGCACTGTCATGTCTGAGATTTTCAGTATATGGTATATCTCACAAGGGGCTCTTACAGGCCTTTGAAGTAGCTGGAGATGGGGAATTTGATTGGTTTCACATGTTCATGCCAAATCTCATGGTAAGTAGAACTTGAGGTTATGAGATATTGCAGTAATACATATTATGGAACACTGTAAATAATTGAACAGGGTTTTTTTGTCTGTGGCTTTTCAGTTTGGGATTGAATTTCCTTCTGTTCCCTGGCAAGTTCTGTGGACTGCTTCTTTTTCACAAGCACTTCGTCTAACCTTCAATGATCTGTTTCTCCTGGAGGAGCAGTGCTGTGTGTTCACCTCTAAATGACTGTGAGACTCTTCCCTGCTTGCCAAAATAGTTGAAAATTCACCTATGGGTGAAAAAGCACAAACAAATAAGATGCCTTGTTACCTTGTGTAATTTCTTTAGGAAAGTAAACTTAAAAAAACCAAAAAAGAATAAAAAAAAGCCCAGAACACAGGTTGGAAAATTAAACTCCAATAAATTTTGAAATGCATGTATGTAAATTGTTCAGATGATGCCAGAATTTTATCTGAATTGGCTCCTTTTCTTGCTATTGGACATGGTGAAAGGAAGTGCATACCCGTGTTAGTTAGCCTGTGTGAAAGTCAAAGTTCTCTCCCCCACCCCCACCAGTATCAGACATATAATTTAGCTAGTAGTGAGAATGGGATGACGTTTTCTAAAATGTCACTTGGTGGGAAAAAAATACCATGTAGTGCTGTATAGGAGTCTATTTTTAAAATGAAACTTGCACTTCATTAGTTTGAAGAGTAGTCTGTGGATAAGAGACATATTTTCAAATGCCAACAGACCTTAATCAAGCTTAGAAGTTTAGGTTGTATTTAGGGCCAGCTAATTCACTGACAGAAAAACACTGTGGTGTGTTGCACACAAACCAATTGAGAACCAAGCCTAGAGCTGAGCATCAGAGTATTGGTACACACTGAGTGATGCTGTAGTTGAAGTATTTTCTCAGAGCTGGTTTCAGCATCTCCGCTTCTTGCTGTTCCTCAAGTTTTGGTGCTGAAGTTCTTCCTGCAGCTGTTTAATCATCTGAACTAAAAATGCCTTGGTAGAGTGGGGGGAAAAAGTGGTGTTTTTTTGAAACTGAGCCTGCTTTCCAGTGTAGTTTACTGCCTACGTCACCATGTAGGCCGGAAGGTCCTGGTTTTAAAATTGTGCCTTGTAGCACAACCACTGGAGTGCTTATGTTGCCTGTGCAGACTTCTTGCATGTTTTTGAATAGTTTGTTTTAATGAACCTCTTGGACTGTGTTGCAGTGAGTATTTTTTTGTTTTAATGAGGTATTTGCCTCACAGCTCAGGAGTTGTGTCTGTAGCTGTTCCTGCTCAAGCTGTGGGAATCTGTTGGGTTTCAAGGGAATTTTACTCTAGAGACTGTGAAGAAGCCACTCTACTTTTTTCTTGCCCAGCCTACAGCTGTGATCTCAGGTTTGCTCGCTGACCATGAGCAGTGGACAGTGAGAAGACACAAATTTCTGAGATCCCTGCAGCATGGTGGAAGATGTGCCAGTGGACAGAATTACACTCACCTGCCCAGGCAAATGCTCTTTTAAAGAAATGTATTTTAAGCAAAGCTAGAAAGCAAAATGGCTTTCTAGAAACCAGAATGCAGAGTGCTGATTCGACTGCAGGAGACTTTTGTATTTGGGGAAGAAGAAGACTTGCCATTGTCATCACATTTGTGTGCTGAAGTATGCTGTCACCCAAATGACAGCCAGCTTTTCTCCAGCCTCATATGACCATAGGGCAGGAGCCAGACTTGTCTGTCCACTCCTCAGAGCGGGACTGCAAACATATTTGATGAATAAGTTGTTCAGGATTGCTCTCTCTTTATTTAATAAAATAAAACAAAACACTAATCACATGTACTGTGAAATAGCTCAAATGAGGGTAGCCCAACATGCTGTAGTAGAGAAGCATCACTTTCTTTGAGTGCTTCAGTATTAGTGGGATGGCAGTGAGAATAAGCAGAATGAGCACTAGTCCATTCATTGTCTCATGTAATCACCTCAGAGTACCACCCAAGTCCAATCAGTACTCTGCCAGTGTCAGGAAGAACTTTGGACTTTTAAGATTCCTTTATCCCTGTCATTAAATAAAACATAGAAACCATTCAGTAAGGGTATGAAAACCTAGTTTCACGGGTTTGTCACACAGAAACTAGCTGACCTTCCAACCCTGGCATATTTATAAATATATGTGGTCACATGATGCAGTTAAAACAACATGTATTGCTATAGTTGAATATGAAGACTGTGACTGGTCTCCTGTTCTGTGCAGCAGTGAAGTACTAGAAATAGAGATGATTCCTAAAATCTGCCTGAAAACTGTCTTGATGTAGTTGATATGAACTACACAGAACTACTGAATAAGTTGAGCAGGATTTCTGCTATTGGAGAAACCGCCCTCTGGCTTGAGCCACCTCAAGAACCATACTGAAACAGGCTGGTTTTACCTACCGCTGGGGGAGTTGCTGTTAGTTTTTCTGGTTCTCTTAATGGCAGTAGAGTTGAAGAGGTGACATTTGTGCCTCTTCAGTTTGCTGCTTTTATTACTTCAGCCTTTATTAGAGACTGTAGAGACACATCTTTTTCTTTTTTTTTTTTTTTTTCCTGGACAGTTCTTGAGCAAATATTCTGGTTTATGCCAATAATTTTTAATTCTCTCCCATTTCTTTTTACTTCTTGCAGTTCTTGTGTGATTGGTGATTGGTGAAAATAAGCCTACACTTCAGGAATGCAAGAGGAGCAACAGCCTGAGGTAGGGAAGATGAAATTTGTATCTCAGTACAATCGCAGGGAAGGTCAAGACTGAATCAGCCAGGTTCTTCCACTTATTTTTGGGCAAGTTCTGCAAAGTCTTAGGACTGATAATGCTGGTGTGAGACCCCTTTTAAAATGGGAATGGAGAGCTGAGTGCTAGTTTTCTTGATACATTTCTGTTCTTTTCTGGTTCTCTTTCCTTCCACTTGCAAAAGCTAAAATGGGTATTTTCTATTATTCTGCTTGCATGTGAGGAATTGCCTAACCTATGAGATTAAACCGTTAGGAGGAAAAAGGTTTTGTGAGTAAATTACAGAACCTGATTATATAATCATTGTATAATCAATGATTGTATAATATATATCTCATTGTACATGGCTGAAGTTCCTTGCCATATTAAATTGAGATGCTTTTTCTATCCTTTCTGTTCCTTTTCTTCTTCTTTCATATCCATGTATCTCAAAACCTTTTTCTGGTGTAATAGGTGAAGCTCAGGAAGTTTTTATCCTATGAAGTATAAGAAGTCAGTTCTTTTGTCCTGTTAATAAAAAGAAAGAACAACAGATTCCTAATGTGGTGGTTTAGTGCTGTGCTTATTGCAGTGTTTTGATGTTGTGATGACAAAGCCAGCATAAGTGATAGGATTAATTCCATATGTTACAGATGGATAAATTTTTCCAAAATATTGTTGTGACTAGACTCAACGTATGCAAGCAGTAGTAAAGCCATATGTTGTGATCAAAAGCTGAGCTGGTGTTAAATTAGATTTGTGCATGTAATTGCAATTTGCAGTGTAATTGCAGTTTGCAGTTGTCAATGAACAGACTTCTGCTTTGTAGTGAAAGGATGATGTGTTGCTGTGACTTTTTTAAACTTTGCACTGTAAAGCTGTTGTACTTTTTGAGTTTAGTCCATGAAATGTATAATAAATTTTTCCTTGCTTTCAGTGGGGCCACGGTAAGACAATCAGGATTTATTTTCTCAAAATTCCTGTTTGGCATAATGGAATGCAAGAAGAAAATAATTACTCTTATAGAAAGCTCTTAACATTTGGGTGTGCTTTGTACAGCCTTGCCTTAAACCTTACCAGGTTAAGTACAAAGTGCATAAACCAATCATTTTAGCTAAAAAGCTGGCATCCATCAGGAGAGGTTGGCTGCCTGCTTGCTGACTCATTAATGTTGTCTTTCCTTTGGAAAGTACTTAAATCATGATGGGTTCTCATCCCATCTCTAACTTTTTGACTTACCGTTGTTCAGAAATTCCAAATTCTTCCAGTAATCATCCTGATTAAACTTGGAATTAAGGTAGTTACCTAAAGGTAATTTATAATTTAGCATTCCCTTACTCCTGAGTCTTTTCTGCACTAACTCTGCCTCTCTGGCTTGAATGACATTGGCTGAATGACTGGAATTATTTAAATTCTATGCACAGGTTTTAAAACTTGCTGTTTAATTAAAAATAAGAAAGGTTTTTGTTAGCCAAAGACCTGTATCATATACTTCTAGGGATAATATCGAAGAGTCAGTGTTTGTGAATCTTTTCAATTGCCTGCTGTTCCTTTAGAGAGCAGAACTCTGCAGATGCCTTGTATCTTTTGATTTTTTATATGTATAATGTCAACATACACATGAACTTTTTAAGATTTGATGTGCATATTGTGTAATTGCCTTATTCCAACAAATACTTGGCCTGACTCTTCTAGAATGGATGTGCTTAGTCTTGTGAGTACTGATTAACTTTGTCAGACTCCTGACAGACTAATGCTGACTGATAGTTGAGTCAAATGGTATAAAATAATCAGTGCACATTTTAGTTTTCAACACAAAGTGCTGTAGTACTGTAGTAGTGTTAGAGATAAATTTGTTTCTTTTTATCTGGAATCCCGTTTATTTTAAAACTCTGTGTCAGGTATAAATATTATCTCTTAAAATAGGCATGAAGTAGTCAGTTTTCAAGATGTACTTTCTCATACTCAGGCAGATAGGAAAAATAGTTGTAAAATCACAGATGTTTTGAACTGTGGCACTGCTTAAATTACTTACTTGCTTGAATATTATTGGTAGGTTCAAACTGAGTAAACTCACAAAGGGAAAGATGTATTGAAACATTTCATTATAATTCCCAGCCTCCTTTTGAATTTGTTTCATACAGGCTGCTGCAGATCCAATGTCGTCCTCTGATGCACCAGAAGATGGCCCAAAGGAAACGTCAAGTATATCACAGAATATCTGTATGTTTCTGGTTGGACTGGGGAGGGTGTATCATACTGGAAGGGGTATTTAAATGTCCTTGCCTTTTCCTTACCTAAAAAGGACAGGGCTGTTGGCAAAAAAAGGAGATGCTGATGAAGTCATAGCTGATTCAATTTGTTCTTGATTTGTTTCAAGTCCCAGTTGTGTAAATCAAATTTAGAAAGAGCAATGACATAGATTGTCAGTTTGCTGATCCCATACTTTTAAAAGTAAATATTTTTAGACTTAATAGATACACTCAGCTATTGTTTTAAGCTTAGCTATTGCTTTCTAAGCCAGTAATGCATGAGTATATGTTTGCTTTGACAGTCTGGCATCTAGTGATATGATGGCGATGAGTTGTCCCAAGTGAAAAGCTTTGCCCATGCTAGCATGATAATATTTTGGCAAGCCTACAGGATGTGGCAATAGAAGTATTCCAGCCAAAACTGTCTTGTGAAGCCCAGGAAGAGTATCTTTTCTTACCTGTTATTGGTAAGATCAGATAATAACAGGCATTTCTTTCTCAAGAGGAAAAAACAAAGGCTTCCTAGGATTTGCTTTATCTATATTGATAAACTGTTATGATATAATGTATCCAGTGCTCATTTATAACAATAGGAACACGCTGATTGTGCTTTCTGGCAAGTAATAAGCTCTGAACCACCTTAGGGCAAATTAGTGTGTAATAGTAACACTACTGAATAATTCCTAGGGATCTCAGCTTTCATGGGAGCAAACAGAGCCTTGACTAAAGCTATGGGAGGTGTATAAGGGAGACTTGAAGGGAGATTAATTTTTTATGTTGCTTTTTTCTCCAGATATAGAAGTTGGTTCAATAAAAACTGTAGGTGCTCCTGAGAATGTTTTCCTTAATTGTGATCTTAATTTAAAACATCTGGTGCTGTACCACTATCACATTTTTTCTTCATATTATTCAGTCCAGTACTGAGTGTATGTGTGAGGTGAAAGCTTGAAAAATAAATAGAAATTAACACTCTTTAAGGGTTACTAAATATGTAGAAACCACTTTCAGCTGGGGGAATCTGAATCATAAATGGCTTTAGGCTAGGAAAGTATTTGAGACAGGTATTACACACACTTCCCCATGTATTATGTTCTCCATTAGGTATTTACTTTTGACCATAGTGAGGGGTGGGATATTTGCTTAGGTGGATTTTTGTTCATCTGCTACGGCTGCTTTTATAATTATGTGCCTGAGAGTGCTACAAATGCAACAGCCTTACCTCTACTTCCTTTTTCACTCATGTTTTGCTTACCTCCTCCTCAGCATCACCAACTGTTTTGGCAGTAACATTGTTGTAGCTCAGACAGTACTGATTGCAGCACGCCATGTTCTTGGGTGTTGACCATGAAGTAGCAGGTTGCTCAAATGCTAAGAAGGATGTTGAAGGGTTGCTTTTCGTTTTTTTTTCGTTGGGTTTTCTCTTCTGTTTGGTTGGTTTTCTTCTAATTTGGTGGGGTTTTTATTTGGTAGGTTTTGGTTTGGGGTTGTTTTTTTTTTTTTTGTTTTTTGTTTTTTTCATAAAGTCTTACAAGATTAGTATTTGTGGGACACAGCTGGGGCCAGAGCCACACAGTTAAACCAGATTCATAAAATGAATGTGTGGTAGGAGGCTGTAATTTATCTGCATCTTTGACATCCTGCCTACAAACTGTTCACTAATCTTTTTTTTTTTGTTCCCCTGGGCTTATGATCCTATTCCAGGCTTCTGGAGACCACTTGAGACCTCTGCTAACTTGTGCAGCAGCTTGCCAGAGAAAGAGAGTTGGTTGGAAACAAAACTCTGCTTTCCTGCTTGATACTTTTTTTTCCTAAGATGCATTACAGCTTTAGGATGACTCATTCAAAGCAACTTTAATTTCCCATTGATGTAGAGTTAAGGCTTCTCTGTCTCAGTCGATGAGACTACCTGGCAATGAGCATCTGTGACAGAGCTGATAGATCCTCCTGTTTTCCATACAGCAAGCTTGACATGGAGGAGTAAACTCACTTTGTACCATTTTGATCTTAAATAGTTGTTGAGCTAGGGAAGAATGATTGGATTCCTGACCTAAATACCTCTTGAGGTTTAATTTTCCTTTGTGTACTGATCCCTTGTGTGTTAATCACAGAAAAGGCTATGGTTGGTACTGTAGGTATCCTGTATGTGCCAATATGTGGAGGTGACTTTGCCATCATATTCACACCAGTGTCCATGTGTTGCTATCGTTTATATAGATAAGAATCCCAAAACTGAACACTTTGGGTTTAAAATTTTAAAAATGCTTTTTTTTTCTTTTTCTCTAATTTAGTGTATACTTTTTCTAAGTATTCTTTGCTTCTCTGTCCACCTCACCTGCCACACAGCTTCTCTCTTTCCCTTACTGAACTGCGTGGACAACCTGTCCCAGTGTCCACAGGGTAGGAAACCTGGACTGAGACCCATGCTTGGAGGCAGCCTCTCCAGTGATGGCACTCTCAATGATGTAGCTTCAGAATTGAATGTAAGATTACAGTGGTAAATCAATGGCCTTTTAGCTCTGCTCTGCTGTTTAGTGGTGACATTTTTATTTTCTGTCTTACTTACCTGCACTTTATATCATGTGTGCTTTTCTCTTCTGTTTTTCTTTACATTTATAGCTGATGCAGATGCATTCAAAATTCTCCTGGAGATGAAGCTGAAGAAAAGGCAGAAAAGGCCTGCTTTACCAAGCACTGTGACTGAGCTTGATACTGAGGATGGTTCTAAAGTGTACGTGGTTGGAACAGCCCACTTCAGTGACAGCAGCAAAAAGGATGTAGTAAAGGTAAATACTCAGCATGAGCCCTTCAGCAGCATCTTTACAATGTTTCAGCTTAGCACTAAGTAGGATGAAGTCCAGCTCTCTGACTTGGTTTTGTGCTGTAACCTTCAGGTTCTGTTTTTTCTAATTGGCTGTTGGAGGCCTAACAGCACTATGGGATGAGAAGCAGATATGTTACAGTAATAATTTTTGATGCAATACATTGGTCTCCCAGCTCAAATATTTTTATTTGCCCTTCAGTGAAAAAGGCAGATACAGCATCAGTGTTGAAAGCAGAAATCTCACTAGTGAAGCTTACATTGCCTGGATATTATTTGGCTGTAAAACCATGCTGCATAAAACTTGGGTTCCATTCTCAAGCTGCAAATAGGTCTGAAGCCCTAGTGCAAGTAGGAACTACTTAATATTGTACCTCCTGCAAACTCTGCCGTTTAGACTACCTTTATTCAGGAGGTAGAGAGGGAGGAATCTTGTAAGAACCAGGGTTGCAGGGTTGACAGTTCTGCCACAAAGTGTATTCTAACTCAAATGGTAAAATACCACAGAGAACAGTCAAATTAATTTTGTGAATGTGAAAAGTTTAACGTGAAGTATTTCTTCCCTGCTCCCCTCCCCAGCACAATATGTTCACCATTATCCTGTCCCAAAGCATCTAGTAGCTAAGACATTTTGCTGTCCTTCCTTAAAATTTTTATCAATGCATAGTTATTTCGAGAACTCTTATTTACTATTCTATTGTTTTTTTAATTGAAAATTATTATTGGAATGTGATCTTAAGGTCCTTTTTCTCTTTAAAGTGTTGATATTGGCTGCATTTCTGTTTATTCCTTTCTAAAGTAGTATAAATAAATTCATCTTTTTCAGACAATACAAGAAGTGCAGCCTGATGTAGTTGTGGTGGAGCTGTGCCAGTACAGAGTTTCTATGTTAAAGATGGATGAAAAGACGTTACTAAAAGAAGCCAAAGAAATAAATCTGGAAAAACTTCAACAAGCTATAAAACAGGTATGATTCCTACAATGAGAATTAATGGTTTGTGTTAAGAACAATTTGTCAAATTGCAATCAAAACCAGTGTTCCCACCAGCTGGGAACCTAATACTGTTGATGTAGGTGAGAGTAATATTACAGTGGCAAAACTAGGTAGCATTGAGGACTTTCTTTTCACAACGGGATTGGTTGGGCAGATTGTTGACCTTGACAGGAATCCTCCTGCATTTAATATCTGCTCCATTTGCAGGACACAAGTCTAACTTTGCAATTGTAATGCTCTGCTAATATATTTAAACGTGAATATTATTCCTACAATCTGCATCTGTATCACAACTATTAAAGAGCACTTAATTTTGGTATTTTCTCTTTAGCTGCATTCCTTCTTCAACCTAGTATGTTGCTCTTTAATTCCTACCTATCCACTTGTCTTTGGAGTAGTGTCTAATTGACAGTAGGCCCTGAAGGGGGATTCTGAAAAATTTGGGCTAAAATGTGTGGGATTCTCTTCAAATTATAACTACTCTGGCAGTTTGATGTGGACATGTCTGGATGTGTGTGCAAAAAAAAAAAAATCCTGTATTTTTTCATTTTCACTTAGCTAGCTTGCATTTGAGTGATTTTAAGCTAGACACAGTGCAACAACACAAAGTTGACTTTAAAATGGCAGGACACTTGATTAGAATGGCAGTGCTTGGTCAATATTAAAGAGTTTCAGTGTCCAGTTGGATGAAGAAGTTTGTAGATTGTTATTTTGATTGTGTGGTAACTGTATATTGGAATTGCTTTATTGATGTAATTGGGAGATTTCCAGGATTTACCCTCCCCTCTCCACAGGAACAGAATCTGCATGCATGCAGAAGCACTTGCAGTGGCTCGGAGCTATGCAGTGTGTATGCTCACACACAGGGTCTCAGAGCTGGCTTTCTGACTTGCTGAGGGAGGCAATAATGCCTTTCCTGTTTTCTTTGTGCCCTATCAAAGGAAAAGACACTGCAAAACACTTGCATGTTGCATGAATTTCTGCATCTATCTGTTTATCTTAGGTAAGATGGATTATTCTGATGCACTGAGACAAAATGCATGTTCACAACAACTGGAACAGCATAGGTGGGGGTCTTCTGACCTTGTGAACAGGCACAGAAACATTTTTCTTTATATCAAAGCTAAATGCAAGTTTATATTGTGTTAAGAGGAAAAAGACAATGAGAACAAAATAGCAGATATTTTTTTCTGTGATGTAAAGTCACATTGGCAGTTTTGCAGTTAGCACTTCCTACTAGGGCTTGAAGTGGTCTTGCATGCAGACAGTAGAATACACAGATTGTATTGGCTCAAAAGCCAGAAAATACTGCAAGGATCCTTCCTATTCTTATAGGTCATTATTAGTCTCCTTTACTTTATTTGCAGGAATAATGCAAATAATAAAATTTGAACATCGGGCCTTTTAAAAAACATATTTCTCTATCTATGGTCTCAACCAAAAAATTCCCCAACCTTTCCCCTTTAAATCACTAACAGTATGGATTATATAGGGAAAACCAGGAAGAACAGTCCAACTGTCCCATGCCAAACTATAGTCTTTGTTTTTCTCTGATAAAAATCAGACTAGTTGATAAGTTGCTCAGTTATGCCTTAGGTGCCTCCTCTCATTGAAATGAGACAGGCCCAAAAGCTACACTAAAAGTCAAAGCTGCTTTTACTTTCATCCTTAAATTTGGAAATGAGGAAAAAAAGCCCAAACGGTGTCTTTTTATAATCACTTACATTAAATATTAAGCACTAAAATTGGATTTCATTGCTCTTAATTGAAGCTGAAAATTGAGCAGAATGTTAACATGAAACATACATATTTGCAATGGATCACTGGCATCCACAGCTTATCAAGTAACTGCTGCTGGTTAAAACCAGACTTTCTTTAGCTCCTCAGTGAATTTCAAAACCCTTAACAACATGGTGCAGACTGGTATCTGGCTCAAATGTGGATAACCTGGAGATGTGCAGTCACAGTTGGCTTAAACCAAACTGATAAGACAGGTTTTTTTTACCTTCTCCCTGGCTTCCTGCTTCCTCTATCCCTTCTGTGTCCATACCACAGAACTGTTTAACCATTAAGTTATTCAGACACTTGCTTCAAGCACACAGAGTAAATATAGACTGAAATAAATCTGGGTATCCTTCTTTATTTTCTTAACCCATTGTACATTTTTGTTGAAGGGCAGAATACTTTGGCCACACAGTGAGGTAAGTTGATAAAAACTGACATATGGGCTGTATTGATCAGTGAATTGGCTCCAAAATGCAGCTTCAGTGTTGTTTCTTCATTAAAATAATTATTTTTTTTTTTTCATTTCTGTGAACAGTGCATTCTTCAGCCTGGTTTTTTTATACATGTTTTTCTCCCTCTTCTGCCAGAACGGAGTCATGTCTGGATTGATGCAAATGCTGCTTCTGAAGGTTTCTGCTCACATCACAGAACAGCTGGGAATGGCTCCAGGAGGAGAATTCAGGGAGGCTTTCAAAGAGGTGCGAACTTGAAATGGCTTTTCTGAGGTCAGATTACTGGCCTTTTGCTTCCAGAGTTGAACTCAATAAAACTATTTTGCTATTGCCTAGTAAAGAGCACTCTGACCATACCTCTGCTGAAGCCAATGAAGTAGTAAAAATCGTTTTCGACTTCAAACTGTACCTTAAGGGACAAAGATTTGTAGACATAAGTGGTAGGAAAGCAATTTTAAAAAGGCTTCAAATAAGGCTTTTTCCTGATGATATATCTGAAGACATTTGTTTTCATTAATAATTTCGTTTCTTTTAAATAACTATTTCGTATTCTCAATATTGATCTTGGTTTCACTGTTGGTGGTGTCAGGATTTCAGGCCATGAAAACCAGCTCTAAAGGATTAATGAGATCTGACACGTTCCATTCATCTACAAAGACTGGGGAAGTGAAATATCTGACTGATCTGTTAGTCCTACATGGTCTTTTAATGTCACCTTTTGTACTACTGCCAGCAGTGGTACTGGAATTAAATAGTAGCTGTGTTTTACACTGCTCTTATTTTTTTTGTCTGGGGATACTCAGACACTATTTTCTGTATCTGCATCCATCTTGCAGAATGTATCTTGCTATTTTTATGTAAATTATGTACTAGTAAGGAAATCTGAGAGACATTGCTGATAAATAATCTGGAATCATGTGGTATATTTATCCTTAATAAAAAGAAAACTTCTTCAAGGTTTATTTTCTTGAGCATTCTAGACCAGAATGAAATATTTTAAGTGTTTCCCATTTTAAGCGGGAAAGAAAAAAAATTAGCTCTGTCCTATTCTAAAGCGATTGCTGAAAATTTTTAAACAACTATCCATAGAAAAGAATTTTCTAGAAATTCTGTACTGTGCTAAAATGTGTCAGTGTGAGCTATAGCCAAGTCTGACATTATCACATGGTATCTGGCATCAGTTATTGTCTCATAAGCTCTTTCTTTAATATCTTTTACAATGACCAGCTGTAAGGTTGATGATCCTGACAAATCCTAGGTGAAAGCAAAATGATGACACCAATGATGGTTCACCTCAGACTTTATTCAAGCCCAGATAGATATTGAGCCCCATTGTCACCTTATGTAGTAATAATCAGAAGCTTTGTCTTCAGTGCAAGTAACCTCAAGGGTGTGGCATTACAATTTAGTGTTTTTTACTGTAATACCTACTGCATTGTGTAGTGGATTTATTCCTTTACGAAGTAATGTAGTAGTATTTTGTAAATTTTACTTATTGCAAAGCCAAAATATTTTTTTATGTTGAAGTAAGGAAGTACCTTGCTCTTTCAGATACCTTGTATAACACAGTAAATCCTTAACGTTCATTAATAAGAGTGTGCTGTGCTGCCGTATGAAATGTTGACTAGTTATTTGTATCTTCCCTTTCAGGCCAGTAAAGTACCTTTCTGTAAATTCCACCTTGGTGACCGGCCCATCCCTGTTACATTTAAGAGAGCAATTGCTGCACTTTCCTTCTGGCAAAAAGTCAAGCTTGCTTGGGGCCTTTGCTTCTTATCTGACCCCATCAGGTATGAATAAGCACCCCATATGTTTTATGTTTGGGGTGGATTATTCAATTCTTCAGTCTGACTTTAGCATGAGGGTACCCAGCCTGATGCAATGAAATTTGAAGTTAGTGAGAAGGATGAATATACAAACTATCCTGCAATAATGTGTATTTTTGAAGTGAAAGCTGTCTTTCTGATCTTGTCAGGTCTTCCTTTGTCTTTCAGTGCATTACTTCCAGGTGAAGTGTAAGATGAGATGCTGATGAATTCCTAGTATACTTTAAAAATTCTTTAAATTATTGTTTTATTATTTTTATGCAGAAACTGAATTTTTTCTCACTACTGTGTGTGGATATTGTAAATAAGAGAGAGTAAAGGCCTCAGTACAGTAATTTGTATATTCATAAGAGTTCCACATCCAGCCATCAACATGAGATTCCTTGGAAAATGAAGTAATAATTCAACATCAAAATTGTCAGTCTGTTGATGTTTCTGGGTCTGCTGAAGCTAGCATTTCTCCTTTAGCTTGCCCTGCTGACGTTTGTAGTATTCTTTTCATCTTGGAAACTAAAGGAAGCCTGTTTGACATCATTCTTTGATAGACAGTGATGCCAAACCAGAAAATTTCATTGCCACAAGCTATGACCCACAGCTAGGGGTGCTAACAGAAGGGTTTATAGCACCTATGAAAAGAATAAAAGCTCATTACATTTTCTCCTGCAGTTCTTATTTTGCATTTCCTGCCCGTTTGCTATTTTTCTGTTCTGTGAGTTTATAACTTTGACATCCCTGCTAAAGACCTGATTGACCTAGTGATTGACACTAGGAACCTGCAGATCTTTCTCCATGCCCTCAGACTGTGCATTACAGTGTACCTTTTTTGTTCCTTAAGTAGAGTCTCTGTGTGTTCAGTGATCAGATCTGCTTCCTCAGAAGAGCTGTGTGTAGGCTCTTCTAAGCTTATTAACGCACACTGAAAGTGGGGCACCATGGTAACTCCTGCCTTTGAAGCCCTAGTGGTTTTGCTGACTTGTCAGCTTTTAAAGTGGGAAAGGAGAAAATCCAGTTGAACTGGCTAAAGGCAGGTGACCTCTTTTCTTTCCCTTTCCTTCACTGCAGAGGCATTGTTAGGTATCAAGTTCTACAGATTTATAGAGATTATTTTCCTTCTGGAGAGGAAAACTGGAAAGAGAACTGTAGACTGCATTTAGGTGTAACACCCAATTGTTTTTATTCATTAGTTTGTCTGTGTTGACCTTTAAAAGCGTAACAGATACTGAGAAAACTTACCTTTCTTTCAGTAAAGATGATGTGGAGAAATGCAAACAGAAGGATTTACTGGAACAGATGATGGCAGAAATGATTGGAGAATTCCCTGACCTTCATAGAACAATTGTCTCCGAACGAGATATTTACTTGACCTACATGCTGAAGCAAGCAGCAAAGCAGATAGAACTACCTCGAGCTTCAGAAAGTAATTGTTTTAAAGCAGAGATTATAACCAGCAAGGTGTTCTTGGTGTATTGGTCCAAAGTTCAGTTTTCAGGAAATCTGGGATTCAGTTCATGAATACCACATGTCACTTAAGAGACAATGCTTAAAAAATTTAAAAGGGGTATTACTATTCTGTTGAAATTACCTAGGCCAGTAGACTCTAAATTGTTTCCTTTCTCATTGTGCTGTTTAAAACTGGTAAGTACTAATTAGCCAGACAACCATTTCAAAAGGCAGAGATCTGCTATGACAGCACAGTATGGGACAGTTGTCTATCTCGCTTGTCCCGTTATCTCACCAAATTCGTTGTTGTCACTGGCTGCTAAGGGACTCATTTCTTCATAAGTTAATTCTCCCATTTCAGTACTCTTCATAGTTTTTTTTTTATAATTGTAAATTGGGCTGCTAGGAACTTTAGTGATCTAGCAGTAATAATCATATGTGACTCTGCTCTTTCAGCAAGGTATAGGCATATAGAAAAATAGTATTTGACCAATCTTTGGAAGTATTCTGCTGCCATATGTAATCGGCATGCCCTTCCTATAGATAAGCATACTGAAGTATGTTACCTCTTACTTAATAGCTTAAGAAGACAGTTCGTCATCAATTCAGTGCAGAACTGTTGTAGTTGCAGTTCTGCTTTAGAGGAACTCTAGAATAGACTGAAAAAAGAAAATTTTAGAAAAACCATTTTGGTAAATATGTATAATAGTTCTAGTGTTTTCAATACAGTTTTGTTTCATTTTGAAGTGGGCTGCTCTTCACATGTTTACTTTTTTTTCTGGAAAAATCAAGGGTGAATATTTAAAGCAAAACAGTGGAACTTGTATTTTTTATTTATGCATTATGTAGAATTTTCCCCATAGGAAAGCAGCCTGATTATTATTCCTTAGAAAGTTTTTTGTGAGTTATTGTGGCATGGTGCTATATTTTTCATTAGGGAAAACTTCCAGAAACCACATTTTGTGTGTTGTGAAATACAGATGTTAGATGGGAGGTGAGGGTGAGAGCTGGCATATGTTGCATATGATGGTTGCTGGCTAACTGCTGGATGTCACTGGTCTGGGTTTGCTCTTGCTGAGGCCAGGTCTCTTAACAGAGAGCTTCAGAGGAACAGGTGTGGTCTCAAGTGCTGTTCTCAGATTGTGAGCCCAAATCTTGTTACACTTTGTGTGCCAGGTGCCATTATCCAAAGTAGCAGAGAAGGTTCTCTGTTCAGGAGACAGCAAAGACCAAAGGTGTTCCTCATAAGCAGCACAGAAGGATAACCTACTCAGAGAAGGAAAGAAGTTAATTTAGCATGCATCTGCTGAGCCTGTCACTCTGAGGCTGAAGTATGAGCACTGCCCAGGTCTATTTATTAAATAAATGATTCCTGAAAATCCAGAAACCATGCTGACTTTTTCAGACTTTCAATGAAAGAGGCAGTAGGTGAGCAGTATGCAACAACAGGGTTTCAATATGTGGTAGTAAAAGCCCCTGTATCTTGGAAAAATCAATTTTGTAGTCTCACACATTGGCTACATATTTATAGCTTGAAATTAGTTCTTTTATAGATATGTTCCTTTCTCTTCATCTTTCTTTTCTTAGATGAACCTAGAAAATATATCCCAGCTGTTGTAGTTGGTGTTGTTGGCATGGGTCATGTACCTGGGATTGAAAAGAACTGGAATTCTGACTTAAAGATCCAGGAAATAATGAGGTAAGAGTTGTGCTTTCCTACATGTTGATGTAACAGCTTGTTTTGCTAAAAACCAGCAGTTTCTTTGGAGTTTTTTTGGTTGATTGTCACAGCTTGAAGAAGCATCTCTACTGTCATCCCTGCCCTGTCAGCTTGCTGACTTGCTGTGCAGTGCTTGCAGATTGTGCTGACAGCAAAGAAAAAGAAAATATCAAAGAAAAAAATAAATAGTTGAATGTGGAGGGAAGTAGAGATGAGACTATGCCCTTGTCTAGAAAGAAAATTAGTTGATCCTCATTTAAGTCTTCAAAATGAAAATTCAAATGAGGGCTGTTGAAGATGGTGAAAACAGAACAAGGCTTTTAGTCTGACTTGGGTAAATATAAATCATTGGATTTAAAGCTTTTGTCTTGTCAGGACACTACTGGCTCTGGCAAGCTTACTGTTGCAGTTGATCGTACCCCATTTTAAGTGTGTATCTAAGTAGTGACTTATTTTAATGTGTATACGTAACTAATTATGAGCTGTTTTAAGCCATGTATCTGGTGAACTCTTGCTTCCAAGTACCTATTAAAGTAGATGTATATGCTTTGTAAAAGACAGAATTGAAGAACCAAAGCATTCAGACTATGTGTATCCCATAAAGCCACAAAAGGTCAAGACTTCAGAAATACAGGAGAGATTATAATACAGCCTAGTAGTATTGGTATGTGGTGCTTTAGGATTATGGAGTCTTTCATATATTCACACTTACCTTATCACATCTGTTTATTGTACTTATGTAACCACCTCACCAATCTCTTCAGAGGCTATGAAAACCAGAAAAGACTGACATCCACATAAATGTTATATTTGGACATCTAAAATACGATTTAGAGAGACTTTTGTTGTCTGAATTCAAGAATGCAAAGTATAGAAGCTGCCTAGCTATTTTTAACTATCTTTCAAGGCTAAGCATCACTGGAGTCACAAACTAGATGTCCATTTTCCTCTGCACCCTCACAAATAACCTGTGTAGTTGTATGGTGGCAATGATGCTGGTTACATCATTGAAAACACAGAACTGAACAGCCCAAAGACCAAGTGCATGTCTTCAAGCCTGCATAGAAGGTCTTTCTCATCAAAGTTTAGGCTCTGACGTGATTGTCTTTACCATGCCAGTGCCATAACTGAGCAGAAGAGTTACTAGTATCTTTCACAAGACATTAACATTGCATTAACTTGATTTTCTGAAATAATATGACGCAAATGACATTCATAAGAGTGCTATTTTTTACCCTTCCTGCTGTTACACTGCAGTTGCAGAGTAGAGTTAGGGCTTTCTTTTGAGTGTTTAGTGTTCATCACTGCTCTAAGGTGGCAAGATTTTAAGACTTTCACAGGTATTTAGTTAAATTTTAAAAGTTGGAATGTGAACTTGAAAATTTTCTGGATAAAAACATACATATATTTCTAATTTTTAAGTTCACGCATTGAACCTGACTCCAAGCAGACCTTACTGTCTGCCACAGAATATTTTGAGCTGGAAGGGATGTACAAGGATCATCGAGTCCCAACTCCTAAATGAATGGCCCATACAGGAATTGAACCCATTACCTGGGCATTATTAGCACCATGCTCTGATCAGCTGTTATTAATTGGTTTTTTTTAAATTGTGGTGAGGTATTAGAATTGAGAAAGAATAGGTGGAGAAGGGTAGAACATGTAAAGAGATGCCTTTACACCATTTTTGGATCAATACATACACTTTTTTCAACTCTCCTGTATATTGCTGTAATGTGCAAAGTCTTAGCTGTGATAACTTTTTCCTAGTTTGAGCACATGGATCTAAACTCAGTCTAGTTGTATCCTAATCTCAGCACATTTAACCTAGTTTGAGAGCACCCAGTATTTTTGCACTATTGTAACTGATTACTTCTGAATACATTAGAAACTTTTTCTGGATGTAAAAAAATGATAACTTGAAGCTCCTTTGAAACCATATATGAGAACCTCTGAGTTACCTGTGAGAGGATCATGAGTTGCTGTGGGTGCAGAGCCTGTTAGTGAGGGTGCAGGGCTGCACGTGCATGTGGCTGTGCTCTCAAAGTCAACTTTACACATTCACAGTGAGACTGTGAATGTTGGGGGCTAGACCTGGTGTCCCTGTTGTCCTCTGCCCTCCTGGTTCAGGTGGCCAGTGCAGAGACTTCCAAGTGGCTCTGTGAAAATCTTAATATTCTCTTTGTAGTATTCTTCAAAAAGTCTGAATATTGACTTAGTTATTTTGGCAGGGTGATGGACAAGTAAAGGTTCCTAGCCATTAAGAGCGGCATTTGTAGAAAGGGCTTTGTTAGTGTTTATTAATTTTTATTGTCATTTAATTGTATGTAGGGCTTGAACATGAAAGAATACATTGTTCATTCATGATGCATCTGTTACCTGAAAATTTCCTGCTCTATGGGGAGGAAGGGGAGAAAAGATCCCTTTTCTTTTTTTTTAATTGGAAAATGCTTACTGTTTCCAGCTATGCAAATATTGTTTTCTATCTTTTGTTTCAGTGTGCCTCCTCCATCAGCTTCAAGTAAGATTTTCAAATTTGTTTTAAAAGCAACAGTTTTTGGACTGCTGGGATACAGCTGCTACCGAATAGGTCACAGGACAGTTCAGTTTGTTCTCTCAATGCCAGCAACACAGAGCTATCTTCAGAGGCTGACAGAGTTGCCTCAGCAGTGACCAACAAATAGAGGCTCTGTGTGAAGAAGGTGGCTGAGGAAAGGGTGATGGAGGCAACGCATGAACTGGACTGAAGGATGAGGATTCTAGTCCAAGCTGATTGATGCTGAGCAACACTCAATCACTATATAGTAAAAGATTTGATACTGAAGTTACACCAGCTATGATCTAATTAATAGTTTTGATTCTTGATAGGTGTGTTGCATGAAACCAGATGATTCCAGACTGAGGTAAAAGAAATGTGTATGCAAATATATATATATTATATATGCATACTATATACATGTACACTATATATATGCATTATATATTATATATATATATATATAACTGATGATGTAGTACAGGCAGCTTAAAGGGTGTGTGTTCATGGCTCCTTTTCCAGAGGAAAGAACAACACAAAGTAACCTAATCAGCTGCATCTCCTGAAGTTCAGGGACACTTGAGTGATTCTTTGCTTTTTTTCTTAGGTATAATAATACCAAGTGTTCGTTTCTGGTGCCAGACACTTTTACACGTAATTTAAAAGGACATCTTCTCAATGTGTGTTTTATACCTAAAACATTTAGGCTTTTTTAAACTTAAGAGCTTTCCAGAAATTTCAGAATTGTACAGGCTGTCATACGTACATGGCTCAAATTTTTTACAAGCCTTACTGAAGAACAGGAACGTTGCCTTTAGATTGCATCCCTTGTTACCACCACCAGTTGAATTGTCTTTCTCCTGCATAGAGAAGGTATAGCCACCCCATCAGAATGCAATGTGGTTTGTGTCACATGTTTACAGGACCCTCTGTTCCTTTAGATTAGCTTATTTAAACTGTTATTATTTAGCCAAATCCTGCTGGTTCCAGTATTGTAAATTTAAGAGAGTAGAACTACTGTACAATTTACTTTTGTTTCTCACACCTTTCATGTTTGGCATAAAAAGCCTGGAATTAACCTGCCCCTTGTTTTTGCTACATGAAAATGTTCTATTTATCAATGTAATTTCTTGGTGGATGAATATTTTAATCTATTTAATAGGAAAGCAGTGTTCAATTTAGTTTTTCAACCAAATGTAGCATTTTATTTGCATTACCTGCTATTTATATGCAGAATTATGGGTACTACAGACTGCTGTTACTTTGTTTTTTAAATATCTGGAACACTCATCCATCATCAATCTTTCTTTCTTTCTTTTTATTTTTTAATCCTAGGTTCATATTTCATTGGAATTTTTTGGTACCTTCCCTTTTTATAGGATTGTCAGTGATTGTAAAATGCCCTTGGCAATCAGCTAGTCCTAGTTCAACAACACAGATAACATTGTCATATCAAAATTAACCCAATGTATTTGAATGGAAAAGTCCCATTTGCTCCTCAGGCTTATATACAGTTGCTCATTGCTTAAAGTGAGGTCTTTATCTGTATTAATTTCTTTTGGGAATGAAAGATTGGAACCAGTACGTGAGGCAGGAGGAGGAAAAGGTGATGTTGTGTTTTGTGTTTCATTGTGGTTTTTCAGTTGGTTCAATAAAATCCAGAAACCACTTTTAATAGGGTATATTTCCAAAGGGTTGTGTTGGAAATAGTTCCATACAGTCTTTTGTTTGCTAAAAGTATGTACATCCATCTTCTCTACAGTGTAGTCTTTTTTGAGCTTTTAAATTTAAGGTTCTGATGCTCCTCTCTGTGATGGCATTGACTTTGCTGGGAGCTGGTCTGTCCATGCAACCTGATGCTTTTCTGCCTTGCTTTTTGAAAATTGTATGAGTTCCAGTGCAGCACATTATTAAACTGCATGTTTATCTTAAACCTTACTGCATCTAACCCGATTCTGCAGAGCTCTTAAGATGATGCTAGGTGCTCTTCTGGGTCTGGGCCTTACAGGTGTCCAGGGAATAAACCTTAGCAAATGAGAATGACAGCAGTTCATGCTTCTAGGACACGAAGTGTAAATGATCATACAGAAAACAGTGGGGGCAGGTCCTTTTATTTTCTTTTTATTAGTGCTTAAGAAACCACCAGCCATCTCTAGCAAGAGGAGAAGCAGCATTTGTAAACAATTTATAGAAGAGTAGAGTAACTGCCTAAATTTTGATTCCTGTTTTTTAAAAACATTTAATGTATTGTTTACAATTAAGCAGTCCTATTTGAATAATTCTATTACATTTTATGTACATTTTTAAAAGATGAAAGCATAAGCTTAAGCTCACTCTTCTCCTGTCTTTACTGACATACCAAAATGTTTTTCTGTTGGTTATTTTCTTGAGAATATTTAGCTGGTAGAATTAAATATATGGATATTTTGCTTTAAGTTATCTACAGATTTCTAAGTATCTGCAGGTATTTTAAAAGCTCTGTAGATCTTTGATATCTGTGCTCAGGTAATTTTACACAAAGGAAAACAAATCTGAGGTAAATTTTAGATAGGAGCCTTAATCTTGGGTGGGACTAATGCTAAATGATTGTCATGGAGCATTCTTGTAGACTTGATGTTTTTATGCTTTTTAGCCAAAAGTGATTACCATCTAAGGTGTCCATTTGTTATTCAGTTATACTCTCCAGTCAGTACTTTAAGTCTACTGTTTCAATATGTTTCAATCTTCAATCTTTCTCTTTTTTTCTTTCTTTTTTTTTTCTTTTTTTTTTTTTTTTTTTACAAAGCATATCAGCAGATTCTTCAGAGAACCTCTTGGAGAATTTGCAATTTGTCTTCCCACTGTTGCAAATTGGCAGATCATATGCATGCACTGTTTATTCAGTGGCACTGGAAAGTGATGAATTTGCAGAACTAACAATTCTATGAATCCATACACAGATTCTTGATGTTGTGTATTCAGTGTGTTGTACTGTTTATATAACATAATCCGTGGTTTAGGTCCATTCTTTTCTGTTCTAGTCAGTCCTTTCACTGTTAGCAGCATCCTGTAAAACTTTAAGTATATTGTTGAATTGTCCCAGGCCCGCCTCAACCTTATGAAGCCATATTGTATTTTTTTGGTGACATGTACATTTGTTTTATGCATTTGTACATGTGATGTAAATTTGAAGTATTTTTAACAATGTGTGCCTTTAAAATGATTTAAAGTAAACAGCAGTATGTTCTATTATATAAAAAATAAAATATTTTAACCACCATTTCTGTTGAAGGTATTTATTTTCCTAATTAACCAGTATTTTTATTAAGAGCAAACACTGGTTAGCTAGATCTAGTACAGGATAATTCCACCATCTAACACATTTTCCTGGAGAACATCAGTTGAACTAATTACCTTCTGCTCAGGGGTATCTGGGTGTAATGCTGGAGCAGGGGAACTAGTTTCTCTACCTACCACATGTTGCTGGTTGAGAGGAAAAGGATGAGTTTCCCTATCCAACTGAACACCCAGGGAGACTGTCTGCTCAATGTGAGAACTTAAAATCAGAGTTCAGAGTTAGGCGTGGTGAGTTGATTTTGTTGTTGTTGCTTTTCTTTTCATGTCTCCAGTGCTCAGTCTTGCAAGGAGCTGACAGCTGTAGTCCCAGTCCAGCAGAGCACTCCAATATTGGCTTTACATCAGTCATTTGTACTTAAAGTGCTGTCCTCCGTGTGGGAAATAAAGATCCTTTAAGTGCAAAAGATGTTGAATAGTGGCAAAGAGCTTTATCTTTCAAATTGGCACAGGTAAATCAATATGACCATTACTTTAAAAAATGCATTAATACAAAGACCCTGTACTCATATATATGATAAGCTGTATTCCATACAGATAATGTGTCATCTGTGTGTACCCTCTGTCAATCAGTGGTCCATATTTTTTGATAGCGTGTAAATCAAAACACAGCCCTTTTTTCCTTGATCAGGCAAAGTTCCCTCCAGGTGCAATTGGAGCCATGGCTGTAAAGAATTGCTGGTAAAACCATTTAGGTGGAAGAAGAAACTGAGGATACTGTAGGGCTGTGCTGTCCCTGGAGTGGCAGAGGAGGCTGCACAGCAGCTCTGCTCTGGAGCACTGCTGGGGCAGACAGGCTCAGGTGGTACCCGGCAGCTGCCTGCCTTGGCAGCGTATTGTCGTTCACCAGCACGGCGTTGCACACTGCTGGCCCACGTCACGTTTGAGGTGTCTTTTCTATACCAAATACTGAACAAAATTTTAAAATTGACTTTTTGAAGTGGATTAAAATTTCTGTGTTTCCACTGGAAGCTGTATTTCTGTGTGTATTGTAAAACATCTAAAAAAGTGAGAAATATATCAAGTTACCTCAAAGTGCCAGGCAGTCGGAGCTACACGTGGAAAAGAAACATCACATTATCACTTGTGTAACTCTTAAGATACTCATGCATGTATTTCCCTGTTTCTTTTTAAAATTGAAATAAACTTTAATTTTAGACTTGTGTTTTAAGACTGACATTTTTGTAAGATGTGGGAGCTTTTAAGTATTGGCAGAAGAAGGGTCACTCATGTGGGTCTGACTTATGGACAGACTTCAGCAGGGTGCCGAGCCCATGCTGTGGAGAGGTGTTGCCATATATCTCTTCACAGGGAAAAGCAAGGCACAATTCTTCCCAAGGATTTCTGAACCTCAGAGAAAGGGAAAACAGAATTCTTATCACTTGCTGTGCCTGTGTTGTGCCAAAGTAGAATGCAATATGGAGACTGTTTATCCAGAGTGAGAATGTTTTGTTTCCTTGGCCTGTTAGGGCCAAGAGTGTGTGTGTGTCGGGACTGTCTGCTGACAGTCATGGGAGAGTCAGGAGATGAGTGCAGTTCTGTGCAGTTGTGTGCAGAGTGAGTGCATGGCAGATTCAGTTTAGATGAAATGTATATATAGTATAATAAAGTAATTAATTAGCCTCCTGATAAGACAGAGTCCTCCTCATCATTCTCTCCCCTTCATCTGGCACCCCCTTGCTTTGATAGAAATGCACATGGAAGACATCAAGCACAGGACAAAAGCTGCTCCAAAGATACACACCTGAAATCAGTCTGTTGACTCTTCGGGTGAAAAAATGCACAGCTGTGTATATCCTCACACCAGCAGGTCTTGTGTGTGTCCGTGTGTATGGGAGGACCCAGGAACAGCTGAAGCAGCTGTCTTGTTCAGCCGCTCCCAGCTGAAGAAGCTGGCTGGGGGATGTGTAGTTATCCCTCCCCTCCATCGCTTGCCTTGTGCCTGCTGCAGAGGGAGCTTTCTATATTCCAGGGAGGCTCTTACCCTCACTCCCAGTAGAGAAAAGGCTGGGAGCTGGGGGGATGTGTGCTCTTTTCCATAACAAGCCCTTGTCCTTTGAGTCCGGACACCTAACCTGGCCCTGGCTCCTCCATTGTAGCTCCCTGCTGGGGGTGACTGTGCTGCAAAGTGAGCAAACGCTTCTGCTTGGATGTTTTGTCTGCTGGTTTGTGTAGTATGACATGGAAAAGCTCTAGTGATGATAAGGGCAGGGGGAAAGATGCACACAGCTACTTTCACACCTGCCTTATCCAAGGTACTTGGTACTTGTGTATCATGACTAATATGTGAGGGAAAGTGGGAAAAACTTATCCCAGCTAGGTGACATTTTTTCAGTGGTAAGATGTCCCTGATTCTGGCTACAGAGATGATTTACAAGCAAGTAATGAAAAGTGATATTTGATTAGAGCTGGCTGGTTATTACTGTAATGTGTCTCTCCAGCAATTAAGCTGCACATGTGCTTTCTCCAGGGCCTGCAGGAGAGCTGTGTGGGCAAGCTCGGCAAAGCTGCTCAGGTTTGTACAAGTGCAACAGGGCTCTGGGTGTGCAGCACCCACCGCTGGGCAGCTCCCCTCCCTCTCCCTGCTGCCATCACTTCGTTGTCTCTCTGTTATGGTTACACGCCGATTCTTTAGAGCTGACGCTCACGGTTGAGTTTAGCCGGAGAGTACAAGCAATAGTCATAATTTAGCGCCATCTACTGTCTGCAGATGGTTTACCTGCTATGTCCGGGCTTGAGTGGCGGCATCCACTGGAGCCTTCAGAGAAACTAAGTGCGCGCACCTTGGAGAGGTTTGGTCTTGACCCACCGCTGAGGTAGCTGCTATTGACTGAAATAACACAAAACAGGAGCATTCTGAACAAGCTCTGATTTGCGGCATACATTCGTTTATCTTTTTTCTTCCTGTGGGTCCCTCCGAGAACTGCTGGCCGCGCTGCTCCGCCCGGGGCCAGTTTCACCCGCCGGGCCCAGCCGCGCTCCCGGTCTCCGGGCGGGCTGTCCCCATGGGCGGGACTCGCGGCGGCGCCGCCCCCGGCCCGGGCGCATGGCCTCGGTGCTGCGCAGCGCCGCTCGCTTCGCCCCGCGGCTCCTGCGGGCGGCCTCGGGCCCGGCCATGCAGCAGCCCGAGGGCGGCGGGGGCTGGCTGGGCGCGCTGCGCTTCGACAACCTGGCTCTGCGCTCGCTGCCCGTGGACGCCTCGGAGGAGAGCGGCCCGCGGACCGTGCCCGGCGCCTGCTTCGCTCGGGTGCGGCCCAGCCCGCTGCAGAACCCGCGGCTCGTGGCCATGTCGCTGCCGGCGCTGGCGCTGCTGGGGCTGGAGGCGCCCGCGGCCGACCCGGCGGCGGCGGAGGCCGAGGCCGCGCTGTTCTTCAGCGGGAACCGGGTGCCGGCGGGCGCGGAGCCCGCGGCGCACTGCTACTGCGGCCACCAGTTCGGCAGCTTCGCGGGGCAGCTGGGCGACGGCGCCGCCATGTACCTGGGCGAGGTGCTGGGCCCGCGGGGCGAGCGCTGGGAGATCCAGCTCAAGGGCGCCGGCATCACCCCCTTTTCCCGGTAAGGCCCGGGCGGGACGGGGCCGGGGCAGCGGCGGGGCGCGGTTTGGCCGCAGCAGCGCCCGCTGCCCCGTGCCTGGCTCGGGCGCTGTGAGGGGAGGACGGGGACGGACTTGCCGGCCCGAGGTCGCATTGGCGAGGGGCTGGTACCGTGCTGAGGATCGTTCCCTGAGGCAAAGGTCACCTCTTAAGCCCTCGTGGTTATTTGTTTTTTGTTTAACTTTGGCAGCAGCGAGTGTAATGCTTAAATGTCGGAGCAGGAGGTGCCAAAATTTTCCACTGGAAAACAAGAGTGTAACTGCATCTCACTGCATCGTTCAGGTGTACATTACTTCTGTCCCTGGTTATCCTCCAGGGATAGCCCTGGTAATCCCTGTGGTTTCCCCCTGTGGCAGGATGCAGACCATGATGACAGTGAGGACAGCCGTGTGTAATTGCAGCCCACACAGACGGGATTTGAATGTGGGCATTTTGGTCCTGCTGGTCCTTCCTCCCACTCTTCCCAGCTGTAGGAGGAAATAGTGGAAGAGTCCCCAGAATGCTATACTGGCCAAATCCCTGCAAGGGATGGGTATCTGCATTAGTCACGTTAACCTTTAAATATTTCAGGTAATTTTTCCCACTTGCATTTGCCATATTTTCTGTTCCAGCCGTACGGTCTCTGTAACACCTTAGTTTCATGTACGTGGTCCTCTGAAGGCCTTCTTCAGGTCTGTGAGGGTTAAGGAAATCTCAGTGAAAATCCCAGATATAGTGTTAGCTTTGTAGATCTGCCCTGGGCAGCTCTCCTGCTTGCCTGTGGCTTTGGAAGTGCTGGGAGTGTGGACTGAGAACCACCTGTGTCTGTTCCATATGCTTACTATCTATTAAATAAGCTAGTTTGTTTAGGTGTTTGGGTTTTTGGTTTTTTTAGTGCAGCTGTTGTGCATGCTCATATTTAGGACCCCATTTCTAGATTGCTTACCCAGAAAGATTCAAAATAATATTTTTCATCATATTTCATTTAATTAAGAAGAAGACATTGACTTGATAAACAATAAAATAGCTATAGCTGTCCAAATTTAAAAAAAAAATAAATAAAGACTGTTGCATCAATAAAACAAACACAGTTAATGATTAGAAGGGATATGTGTACCTGGAAGGTTTATTCTGTTGTGTGTGCTCTTCATTGCAAGTTGTTGTGTCCGTGTAATTGAACTTCAGCAGAAGTTTGAAGGTCCAGCTTTTCACATCTGCCACTACATTTTTGTGGGACCATGGACAGAGTGTGTCACTTGTAGGCTTTTATTTCTCTGCTGCTACAGAGGAGACAGGAGTTCCTGCCTTTGTAGGCTAAAAGCCATCCATGTCTCCTTGGTGCAGACAAGCTGATGGTCGGAAAGTGCTGCGGTCGAGCATCCGGGAGTTCCTGTGCAGCGAGGCCATGTTTCACCTGGGAATACCAACAACGCGGGCTGGCACCTGCGTCACGTCCGACTCCAGAGTCGTTCGGGACATGTTTTATGATGGGAATCCAAAAAATGAAAGGTGTACGGTTGTTCTGAGAATAGCCTCTACATTTATAAGGTAGAAGCCTATTTTATTGATCATTTTGTTTTGTTTTTGTTTTGGTTTTTTTTTCCTGTAAAACTAAACAGTCTTTTAAACTGTATTTCCCTAACAGTACACACTGTTCGTTTGTTTCTTGTTCTGGAGGCTTGGAACTTCTCTGGCTGGGCTGTAGGAAGCTGTTTTTCTTGTTCAGCAGATGGGATGGGCTGCTGTCTTTGCACTGAGACATATAAATACTAGAGATGCTGGCCTGGTAGAAAGAAGAAGTTCTGCAGACTTAGGAGAAGATATTTTTCATGTTTATTCCTGTACAGAATACATTATTGGTTTTTTATAGTAGTAGTAATAGTGGTGAATTATACCTTGATCCTTAATTCCAGTTCTAATGTAGTTCTGTGAGAGTTTGGGTGTACTTTCCCTGCCTGAGAAGTGTATGAGGTTCTTGCTGCAGCAGAAGCTATTAGGCATTTCAGCAAGTTGCATTGCTTCCTCTAAGGTTACAGAATATTAGAGGTATGAAGAACATGTGAGGTATGAGGAATGTGTGTGTGTGTATTTGTGTGCATTCCTGTGTGTTTACATATATGGAAAATATATCTGGTATGCTTGATGTACAGTCTAGTATTTAAAGTAAGTCCAACTTCTACATATTAGCAGGATAAAAATTTTTCAGTAGAAGGAGTTGTAAGAAACTTTAATTAGCTGGTGTTCAGTACTGGCAAGGTTGGTCAGTTTAGTTACATGAGGATGTAGGAGCTTCCTTTCACCAAGTCACTGAGCCTCACCACGTTCAGTGTAGGAATCTTGCAGATCTTTTCTCTCAGCCACCTGAAGAATTGGTGTTAAGAGATGATGTGCTGTTATTGCAACAACAGTAAATGTTTTTATTACATGCAATATCAAATTAATAGTATCAGATAATTCTCAAACATGTTTTTATTTTGAGACAGATTTGGCTCTTTTGAAATTTTTAAGCCCCCTGATGAATACACAGGACGCAAGGGTCCCAGCGTGAACCGAAATGACATTCGAATACAGATGCTTGATTATGTGATCAGCACTTTCTACCCAGAAATCCAGGAGGCTTATTCGGACAACACTGTTCAGAGGAATGCTGCTTTCTTCAAAGAGGTAAGGAAGATCAGATTCTCTTCATAAATCCACATCAGTTGTCTTTAGGAAGTGCATCTGAGAGCACAGGTGACTGGAGTCAGTTAATACTTCGTATCACTCAATTGTCTGAACTCCTCGTTGAAGAAAGCACTCTTAGTGGACCCCGTTTATTGATGAAAGCAGTGTTGGTATTGATCTAACCAGTGAAAACAGTGTAACCTTCCTAATGGTAAATCATGATTTCCCTGCTTTGGGGGGGTGGCTTCCAAAGGCTTGTCTCAATTTTCTGGGACTATCTTAGACTGGGAGAGGGAGTTCTGGCTCTTACTGTCAGGTGATGAGTTGATGGTGCTGAGATATTACTTGCAAGGCATCATTTTGTAAAATACTGAGATGCTGAGTCTCATTTTCCAAATTACAAACAGGAGTGTTCTCTGCAAATCAGTTTAACTTCAAACTTCGGAACTGAAATGTTTCAAGGCAGTTGAGCACTTCTATAACTAGCCAGCAAACAGGGTAATTAAAAAATACCAGTGTCTAATACTTTCTGAAAGCTGTTGTGGTGCTTTAAAGCCTGAACTTGCCTGGTATGAACTGAGGGAATGGCTGCAGCATGGATGCACTTTCATAACAGACCAGTAAGAGGTCAAAAGCCAGACTTGATAGCTGACATGCTACAGTTTGGTTTCGTGACTTTTTTTTCCTTACCACAACCTGTGCATACTTGCATTAATTCTTCAAACCAAGCTGTGGCTTAGTTCACCACTATGTTCCAAAGAATTTAATTCTGCTGGACAAGTCCTTTGTGTGCGAACAGTTTGGTTTGATGAGGAGAGCTGTGGCTTGTCACTCACTCTGTTTTGTTCAGCTCTGTAGCTGTGATGGCATGTTTGCTTCCTGATGGCAGAAAAGTCATGGGACTTGGGGATCTTTGTGAATGTGTGTGTGCCCAGTCTGCTTCTTCCTTGCTTCTTTGGCTGCTTTTCTCGGCCCAGTTACTACTGGTTTCCTTTTCCTTCCCTCCACCTATATTCCTAGCATCCTTTTCTTGTTTCCCCAGATGCATTTTTTGTTTGTTGTGCTCCTCGTGCCACTGCCTGTCCACACTCCCATGTCTGTGCTGTCATTGCCTCCTCATGTTTTCTCTCTCATCCTTAGTGGAGACTTTCCTGACTTTCCTCCACCTGAAAATCATCCTTTTTTAATTAAACAAACACATCCATTTGCAGGGAACTGCTGTCACTTCAACTCTATCTTGCTTTATCATTCTTTCTGCACTGTGGAGGAAATAGAGAAAAAAGTACAGGTGGTTGCATTTCACAGCACTGTCTAGAAAGCAGACATCATTAGCTGTACTTCTCAAATAATTTGTAGCTGTTGTTTAAATTTAAATGAGCATGTCCTTCAGCTGACAGTCTCATTTATATATACACCATACTTGCCTTCTAGTTTGGCTAGCTGTAGAAAAATGTTAATGAAAAATAAAGGTCACAGAAGATGCAGAGCTGTCTCTTCATTATCAATATACCCATCTTTGAGTGGCACCCAAGCTTTAGTTGCTTTTGGACACTCTAATCAGGGGGATTTCTTTTTACCAGAACCCTGGTGGAGTGCAGTGCATCCATACAAGGACTGCCTTACCACTGGAGTGCTTTCATCCCACCCCTGGTGGCCAGGACTTTTTCATTTTTAAATTTTGTATTTTCCTGGCAGAGAGCCATTCTGCAGGGTGTGCCTCTCTTACTGGGCCATGGCCTAGGTAATCAGTTTTGGACACATGTAGCTGGCTGCTGGCTTCCAGCTGCCCCGTGAATCAGCACTCAGGGAAAATGTGTAAAGTACCTACCATGAGAATTTTGGAAAAATTAGAAGTGTGGAATCTCATGGTAGACCAAAAGGTTGTGTTCCATGCATCATTTGTGGTTTTCACTGCCTGTCAGGGCAAGATTTGTCTAATTTTTCTTCTTTACTTGACTGCATGTGTTTTTAAAAAGGTAGAAAAATTCTGGATTTGAACACAAAGGCATAGAAACATCTAATTAAACAATTTATAGGTTGTTTTTTGAACCTTAATGAAATATACTTACACTGCAGCATGGAGCAAATAGTTGTTGAATTTTTGTGCATTGTTAGCTATTTGGGAAGAAGAATGATTTTATCTATGAAAATAATTTGATTTAAAAGTTTTAGTGAATGGCTATGCAAAATTTTTACTTACAGCAATTTAGCAAAGTATTTGCAACTAGTTTTATTTAAAAACCATTTTAGCTTCATGACTTTTAGATTTTTAGAGTTGTAGTTGACAGGTGGGTTAATGTATTTAATAACTAGGACTGCTTTAAAATATTACACTATTTATTTGAAGGATGGGGCACATGCAGTGATTTTAGTCAATTCCATACAAATAGTTCCATACAAATAGTTCTCAGTTCAGCAGTGAAAAATTACTGATGAAAATGCATTCGGTGAAGAATTGCATTTGAATAAAATCATTGTTCTTGCAATACTTTTATTTAATCTTGTAGCCTTATTTCCACTCTCAGAACATGGAGAGAAATGCTTATCAGTGCTAAAACCCGTTTGCATGGAATAGTTTTTTGTGTCAGCCCTTTAACCTCCCTCTAAATCACCCCTACATATGAGGTAAACCAAAAGACTACACTTGCTTATGTGATTTCCTGCCTTTAGTTACTCTTTAAAATTAATAATGGGCAAAAGAATATATTTGTACAATGACCGCACTAGTATGCACGTCTGACCTCAGACAGTTTACATTGTTTCAGTGTCCTGTCCCCAGAGCATTTGGAAGCTGCTCAATTGACTGACAAGTCAAGCATGGAAGGAGAGAAGTGGATGCAAGTGGAAATGGGAGGCAGGGAAACAGGAGGAGAGAGGCAAACTGGCCTTAAGGTGTTTGTGTGCACGGCATACTGCCAGAATCTGCTTCCACTGGAGCTGTAGAAACATAGTTCAGACTAGGAAATACATGAATGTGTTGGAAATACATTGTTGTGGTGACAAATGAACACAATGTCCTTTCTTTCAGATCACCAAGCGGACAGCGAGGCTGGTTGCTGAGTGGCAGTGTGTGGGGTTTTGCCATGGCGTGCTGAATACAGACAACATGAGTATTGTTGGACTCACCATTGACTATGGCCCTTTTGGGTTTATGGACAGGTCAGTGTGGCATCATTGTTTGCAATGTACATATGTTGGTCTTGCTATGTAGGACAGTCCTGGTGTTCGTGGTTGCTTTAATATTTTAACTCTAAAGCAGACTTTTGAATTACCTTCACGGCAAAGGAGATCAAGGTAGTTGTCCTATAATTCTTCTTGTCAATGTACTTTAAATGTGTTCACAACTTCTCTAGCTGTTAGACTGTTCTTGTAGCCTGTGGCTTTGGGAAAAGAATCAAGGAGTGTTTCCTTTCAAATTTTGTAGTTCCAGCAGACTAAAATAATAAAAGTACTACTTCTCACAGTATTAGTGTCCAGGTAAGTAGAAGAATGCTAACAATTTCTTCTCTTGTAGGTATGACCCTGAGCACGTGTGCAATGGGTCTGATAATACAGGGCGCTATGCTTACAACAAACAGCCAGAGATTTGCAAGTGGAACCTGGGGAAACTTGCTGAAGCTTTAGTTCCAGAGCTGCCCTTGGAAATAAGCCAACTCATCCTGGAAGAGGAATATGATGCAGAATTTGAGAAACACTATTTGCAGAAGATGAGAAAAAAACTAGGCCTAATCCAGCTGGAATTAGAAGAAGATAGTAAGCTGGTGTCTGTTCTGCTTGAAACCATGCATCTCACAGGTTGGTGAACAGCACAGAAGGTGCTTATTTAATAGCCTATCAGAGTTTATTGTCAAATCAAAATACAATTTATATCTTGACCTTAAAAGAAAATAGCCTTGTGCAACTACATTGTTATTTGGGAGAAGAACAAAAGGCTGAAAATAATTACCTTTGTGTGAACTGTGGAGTAGTTGTTGCCTTATGCAACTCACATTTGCACCCTCACTGAAAGAACAGTTTTATTTGCCTCTTTAGAATGGTGACCTGTACTGCTGAGGGAGGAGGTAGGAAGGAGGTATGGGAACTGCTTTCCTGCTGCTTTATTAGTTGCATTACTGATAATTTTTTTTTTTCAGCTGGAGACTTCACAAATATTTTTTACTTGCTGAGTTCATTCTCAGTAGACATTGATCCTTCAAAATTTGAAGGTTTCTTGGAAGACCTTACAAGTCAGTGTGCTTCTGTGGAAGAACTGAAAGTTGTTTTTAAACCACAGATGGATCCAAGGTATTACTCTGCTTAAATGCTTTCGGTTTTTGCTTTTAGTCTCATTATAACCATAATGGTACGCATGGTATATAATATTTGACTGATTTTAAGATTAGAAATGTCACTGTTAAGTACATGCACTATGGTACACAGCAGTGACTTTCAGCAGTTGGCTCTTGAGTTAAAGTTCTCTGAGCTTTTGCTTGGTCTTTTTTTTTTTTTTATTTCCTTCCCTGTTTCTTCTGACTTGAGGAATTGAGATTGCCAAGTAATGAAGTGATATGGAAGTATTTTAGAGAAGAAATGGGTTTGAGCTACAATGCTACTGTGTTCTGCTAGTGTAGTGTCAGCAAAAAGTCACTTTCAACAGTCAAAGTTCTGGCCTAAGGATAACCTTGAGGTGGTGTAGTCCATGCCCCATTTGTTCTGCAGTCCAGCTACTCTGAGCATGGAAAAATAATAATTCATGTTCATCTGCTGTTTATAACAGTGTCTGCAGCAGTTTTTCAGTTTTTTGGAGATGGGGGAGAAAAAATTAAAGGTTTTCTCAATATACTTCTCTCCCTCCCACCAGCCTTGTGTACTAAGTGCTCCATGAAGGTAATGAACCTACCAGATTTTCAGCTTTTGCTGTGTATTGATAGCACAATACAGAGATAGTTTGTGTGGTAGAGATGGGACAGTATTTTTTAAACACTGCATTCAGGACTAGAGAAACATGAAAAATAGCTGTAAGTCATCATGATAGGGATCATTTTGGAGGGGAATAGTACTGTATTAAAGTGAGTGCATGACTGATTTATTTTTTAATCCCAGCACTTGGATATCACAGATCTAGGCATGTCAGATGTGTACACCAGATCTGGATAGTACTTTATATAAACTCATAAATCAAAGCACCTGGCTTCTCTCTGCTGACTAAAAGTAGGAAAATATAACTTGATATAATGAATTGTCTGTTTTGATGACAGGAGAAATGTTTTCTTTTGTCCTTTGCTTAAAACTGCATTCACAGAGAAAATAAAAACACGTTGTAATTTGATATGCTGCAGCTCTTTGGGTTTTTATTTTACTTTATGCTATGCTGTAGTTATTAATTCAGGAAAAATAAAAGCTAGCACAGTATTGCAAAATAAGGTGGAGCTATTGTACAGCACCAGCTAACACAGTGAAATATTAAAAGATACAATCCTAGTCAAACTTGCAGCAAAATAGTCTGGATATTGTTTGGAATTTATTACCAGAAAGAAGTTCTCAGTCTGTGATTTAGACTTGCTAACTAAAAAATTCAAACACAGTGTTGTCTCATGCAACTTAAATGAAGTATTTTCCCCATATCAATTGGGTTTTTATAGTACTGGCAAAATTAGTAGCGTTAAAGAAAAAAAAAAAAACCCCAAACAACAAAACCTTTGAACTCTATATTATCTTGATAGCTAAATAAGATTGAAAATTTTAAGCAAATTTCTTTCGAAGTTCAAAGGGTATTTTGATGAGAATTGTGCAACTAAACCACTAATTTTAAAAATCTACTGTCTGCGCTTTATATACCACAGGAGTATGAATTAAACACACTGAAGAAGGAAGAAAAAATTAGGATAATATATAATAAAAGTTGTTTTGTTAATTATGAATTTCTGTTACTTAACCTCTCTAGTGAAACCCCAGTTTGTTGTGAATATTTTTGTATCTACTTTGATTGCAAAGAGATGGTTCTTGACGAGCAGCTCAACTTTAGTATCTAACATGTTTGTTCTTTTTGTTCCCAGACAACTGTCAATGATGCTGATGCTGGCTCAGTCTAATCCTCAGCTGTTAGCATTAATTGGAACAAAAGCTAATATAAATAAAGAACTGGAGCGCATTGAACAGTTCTCTAAACTGCAGCAGTTAACAGCAGATGATTTACTTAGCAGAAATAAAAGACACTGGAAGGAATGGCTGGAGAAATACAGGTAAGGTTTCTCAGTACTGATAGCACTGTTATATTTCTGCATTTTGAGAACAATGTGCATGTCTCACAAGAGACACCCTATCTCAAATACAGATTAGGAGGGTGGGGAGGGTATGCAACTGAAGAATATTGTCTACTGCCATCATCAGTGTCTTTGTTGCTGTGAAAGTTCAAGGACATCTTTTTACTTTGTTTACTAAATTTTGAGGTAGTGTGAAGATGTAGAAATCATGTAGCATCAAATCTAATATGAAAAGTGCTTCAGCAATGTTGATGTTGATTCTGACATAGACTAATTCCAGTTGTGAACGTTTAAGTGCTCAATAACTACGACTTACTGACCTCTAAGTATTCTATCCTTTGAAGTTTTTCTCCAATGGAAAAGTCTATGTGTACTGTGTGGATTAGGGCAGATCTTTCCTCACCTGGCTGCCTGTGATCTTATTTCTCCAGCAGGGCTGAGAGCTTTAGCAAGTATTACTGGTAGAAGGTACCTGAAACTGCCTCTGCTGTATTGCATCCTCGTGCTTTTATCAGAACAGCAAAAGCTTTTACCAATAAACAATGTAGAAATACTTGAAAGACAAACCTGAATGTGTCAGTCATTGCAGAGCAATGCAGAACAGACCATATCCTGTGTCTTGATCTGACTGGAGAACAGAAAAGCTGTGCTGTGCCACTTCCTCAAGCTGTGTCAGGATCTGCTGACTGTCCCTGCTTTTAAACTAAGTGGTGTTTTCTAGTCTGTTGTCATGCTGCATTTTATAAACTGAGAGCATTATAGATGATGTAGTATTTTTTAAGAACTGCAAATGAAGTATCTCAAAACAAGAAAATGTGTCAACTTCTACATATGGTTCTTGGTAAAAACCAGTTGTTTCTTAATTTCAGAGTCCGTTTGCAGAAAGAAATAGAAAGCGTTGGTAATGCCGATGCCTGGAACACAGAGCATGTCAAGGTCATGAATTCAAACAATCCAAAATATATCTTGAGGAATTATATTGCCCAGAATGCCATAGAAGCAGCTGAAAATGGTGATTTCTCAGAGGTATGCTATTATTGCTCTCTCTCTCTAGGCTTGTGTGGATGTGTAGTGGTGCTGTCAATGACTGACATTATACCAGGCAAAATTTAGTCTGGAATCTTGGGCAGTAAGGGGATTGGGAATTCACTGTTCAGTAGATCTCTGTTGTTTTTATTGTAACTTTAATTTTAAGGACTGCAGTACAAATAATGGAATAAAAACTCTGAATGTGAACTTCACCAGCTCTTGTAGGCTGACCTCAGGACAAGGCATGTACACTGCTTTTACATCCTGAGAGTGGCTTGGAAGGCAGTTGAGGGTAAATTTATACTTGTTCCTTTCTGGAAAATGTTATCTTTTAAAATGTACAGCTTTCACCTGTGGACTTCAGCATGTGGAACATTACATGCAGAATATTGCAGAATATGGGAAAATTAATTTAAGAAATTATATAAGAATTTATATTTAATATTTGCATTTCAAGTTATTTGAGCCTGAGTCCCATACACATACAAACTCAGCCACGTACAATTTTACAGTTTGCATCTTATGTATAGTGTTCATCTGTTTAATATTTGGCTTGTTTGGAGTTCATGTATTAAATACAATACACTTGCTCATTATTTGGCATGAGATTTGTCTCCGTATCATTTTGCCTTCACTTCCTAAATTCTTAACAACCATGCTGTGTTTTCGCTCTAGGTAAGAAATGTGCTGAAACTTTTAGAGCATCCATTCCAAGAAGCAGAAGGTTTCCAGGAGATAAAGGAGGATGCAGAAGAGGAGGGAGCAGCTGCTACAGCAGCTGTTTGTTCTCAAGAGAGCAGAAGCAAACAATCATATTGCAGCAAACCTCCGCTGTGGGCTTCGGAGCTCTGCGTTACGTGATCTTCATAACTGCCTTGTTTCGTTTTTTGCTGTGAACTGAAGACTGATCCTCCTTCAGCAGTGAAGAATTCAGCAAGGCAAACATCAAAGTGCTATTAAGTTATTGAAACAACACTACATTTGGATGCATCTGCAGCAGTTTTCAGCTGTGCTTAATTTGAAGCAATTGTGGATCATTGGAACAAACCAGTGACAATCAACAGCCCATACACATCAGTAATCTAAATGTTTTAAGGCCCAAAGTTTTTCCTTTATCCTCACTACATTGTAAGGAAAAAACAAGGTTTTATGTTGAAGCAGGCTGAACTTCAGTCATCGAAATGGAGTTGTTGTTATGTGAAGACAAAACCAGCAAGTCAGGAATCTGATCTGTTTTTGTCTGATGTCTTAACTAATAGTACTTCTCATATTTATTTACTGCTTTCTCTATGCAGAAACTTTTAGTCCTCTTTAATGGAGGAACAGATTCAGTGTTGCTTGTTTGAAGCTATGTTTCATTTAATTAAGTAGTTCATTTCTTGTGAACCTGCAGATTGGTATTTAATCATTATCTATTTTCTGAGAACGTGTGCAGGCTAGAATTTGGGGGAGCAATTTAATTTTTTTTAGGAGCAGAATTAAGGGAGATTACATACATCTGCGCTTGAAAACTTGGTGGTGAAGTTTATTCAGGTTCAGTATGTTTGCACACAGCACCCATAAATATCTGCTAAACTCAGGAGTGCAGTTTGTAACCCAATTGCCTTGGGCAGGATCCATAAGCCAAATTAGTTTGAGCCTTAAACTACCCCAGCACTCAAATCCGGGTTTGTTGTGTCTTTATATCGGTGCTCCTAACAGAGTCTGCCTGTTTGAGAAGTGTGCAGGTGAGGTACCTGCTCATCATGCAGGTCAGTGGGGCTCTTCCATTCCTTCTCTACTCTTGCACCATTTAGTTTGTTTCCATGGTCCTTGAAAATCTTCAAGCTGGAAATTGGCCATTTAGGAGCGTGCTGTTTGAGCTTGGTAAAAGATGATGGAGGATGTGGGAGAAGAAGAGGAGCTGACTTGCTCACAAGTTACTTAAAATGCTTCAGTTGAGGTTTCAGGGGAAGGTTGTTTGCCATTATTGTCACATCATCAGAGTTGTTCTGTAGTTGTTACTTAGCTTTGAGTTTCTCTTTGAAGGACTGTTACTAGTTCAGACACCTGAAAGGTTTGGTTTAATGCAAAGGCTTCTCCTTCCAAAGAGATCACTGGCTCACACTGAGATGTTACGTGTCCTCCAGGAAATTCTTCTGCTACCCCCATGCAAATTTGTCACCAGCTTGGGTTGAATTGTGGTTTTTTAAGTCTTCCTCAGTATGAGCTGTCAGCAGACAGAAAGTACAGCTGGACTGTTGCTTATCCACCTGCACTAATAGTCAGTTTGTCCTCCTCACTGTCACAGGACATAGGACATGCTTTGAATGTAAGCATTTATTCTGTCTTGGAGCTGGAGGAACTGATTTGTGATAAACTGTGATCTCTGACAAGCACAGCACTTTCTGTGTGATTTTGGAGTCCTTAAAGAAAAGGACAAACTAGGTGTATTACCTAGCCCATGGAAGAATGGTGTAGTTGAAAAAGGTCTGTTGGGAATAATCCATTTTTGTGGGAATTAGGAGCTTTCATTGAGGATTATCCTCCCTTTAAATTTGGGTTACTGAAACCAAACCACTTAATGGAAACATTAGCAGAAAGTCAGTGCTGGGTAAACAGGACTGCATCAGGGAGGGAAAGTGCATGTGCAGTTTGAAATACACTTGAGACATCCCCTTGCAGAACCTGTGGTCTCTTACAGTGTGCCTGGTCCACAAGGGAGCAACAGAACGGGGAGAAGTTGCTCCAAACTGATCAACATAACTGTGCTGATTCTGTTTCTCAGTTTATATCTTTTATTTTGGGACACAGAGGGGAACAGAGTTTTAGAGGAGCTCTGTCCTAGCTTTTTTCTTTACCAAAATGGTGTAAAAAAGTAAGGATTCTTAGCCATACCTGAACTATTAAGTCTTTTTAACAGCATTCTAGTAATAATAATTTGGGGGGGTTGAGTAGGTCTCTGTTAATAGTGGTACAGAGAAGGAGAATAATAATGTAACTGTGTGTTTGGACATCCAAGAATTTGGATTAACTACCAAATTATTGTGCACCTATATTGCCAAAATCACAGAAGGAGATACTTTGGAATAATTTACAAGCAATTCTCTTATCTTAAAAAGGGAAAATGAATGTTACAGTGAGAACTGCAAACGCATTTGCTGCTAAATATTCTTTGCTTACATGTCAGTCAAGTGCAAGAGGTCTGGCAGGGTTGGAATGATTAATGCAGCCCCTTGGTGTGCCTCTCAGTGAAGTTGTATGTCTAACAGTGTTCACCAACAGTGGAAACTCTGAAGCTTTCACACGTTCCAGCTGCACGGACACCCAACTGCATTGGAGAACCCAACGGTTCTCCAGGGCATGCAGTAATATCAGTGCTGTGTGTTTGAAGCATGATGATCCAGAGCCAAGTGGAATGCTTGTGCTCTTCCAGCACTCATTTCAGCAGGTGGGTTGTAGTTTGATCTCTGATGATAGTGAGTTTCTTCTGTTCTTGTTCCTGGAGCAGTGTGGAAGAGGGAGGTTGAGCAGCAGCATGATTAGGCCAAATTTTGTCCAGATTAGAATGTTACCACTTAGCTCAGTTCTTCAGAGAGAAGGGAGTGCAGCTTAGAGCATTTTGGAATCTAAATACTTGAATCATAATTTGCTTCCTGATTTTTACTGCCTGTATTTGCAATGGGTTCTGAAAATAATATTCCTGGTCAAATATTCTGCTTACATAAAAGCCATGGAGTTGTGCTCAAAATGAAGTGGTGACTCTTCCTATCAAAAGCTTTCTGTGGAAATACTTGATTAGACTTAATCCTGTGGCTACACCATATATCCTAAAGTACCTTCGCATAAAATCAAGTGGTACCTACCCAGATTCCAAAACTGAAATGAGAAACTATTGGAGATGAGTCTCTGGATAGTCTCACATGATAGTGGGACTCTTTTCATGACTTGGTAAGATCTCACCATAACTCTGCTTCATGAGCTTGTAAATCTACAGTTGCAGAATGTTTTGATGTCAGCTCTTCTTTTGGAATGTTGTGTGGGTTTGGGGGACTTTTTTGGTTTGTTTCTGGGCTGGGTTTGTTGGGTTTTTTTCCAAATAAGTGCTACAGATTTGATTATTTTATTAAAATTAATTAAAATTGCAATTTTAATATTTTTGTTAATGCCTATTTCCTGAAAGTTTTACTGTTAAAACAGTACTGATCACAGATGTGAACCCAACAGGAGGGTTTCACAGTGGTGTCACATCCAGTGTACGATCACACAGTCTGAATTCTAAACAATGCTGTCACTACCTTGGTAACATAGTTGCATCTTGTCATTTGGCTTTATGCTTCCTGTGTTGACAGGAAGGTTTTTAGTGTGCACTGCAGTTCTCAGTTCCTCTCACCTGTATACAAATTGGTGCTGCCACTTCCCCTTAACACCTCTGTTTTCCCTCACCCTGACATCAGCTGTGGAGCTGAAGGATGCAGCTGCCCTGTGTGCAGCACAGGTACCATGCCATGTAAATCAAAGGACGTGAGGGGCTGTGATAAAGCTCCAGACAGACATGAGTACAGACTGCACCATTTTTGTTTGTGCAATTCTGGCAGCAGATGCCTCATTAACGGGAGCAGAAAATCAGGGGGGAAGTCAAGTTTTCTAAGCTAAGTGTGCAAAATCTCTTTGTACCCCCTGGATAAAAAAAAAAAAAAAACATACCCAAGGCTTGATATAAAGTAAACTTTGATTCTGTGTTTAACACTGCTTATATAGCCAGAAAACAAACCATTAATCCATTGTCTAGACTTCAAGGGATTTCTTTTCATGGCTTGTTGCAGAAGTGATAGAATTGCAGCTCTAAGAATCATCAAAATCATGAATGAAGACTCACTTGAAAAAAAAACACTTGTATTTATTAAGAAGTTATATATCTAGAAAGAAACAATTCTGCAACTTTTTTCCTTAAAACTTCCTAGTTGAAATGTCCATAGTCTAAATCTTATTTGGCAGACCAACTTAAAAACACTTGAACATTTGAAGGAAGATTAAATAAGCAAAGAATGACAAACATCAAATAAATAGTTTAGAATCATAAAAATACTTTTTTTTTTTTTAACCTTTAAATGCTATTATGTTGCTTTGCTATTGATTTTGTTGGTTTGGGTGGTTGTTTTGTTTTGTTTTTTTAATTTATATTCAACACTTTAAGGAAATTTGCAAATAATTGCAAATAAATGGCTGGAGTTATGTAAGAGGAGAAATTGATGGGAGCTCCAACCCTGTAGCTATGCTATCCATTTGCCATGAAGGCATCCTTTTCCTGACTCCTTGCACCAATGATTGGAACCAGCACTCCCTGACATCAAGAAACTGCCCTAATTTCAAACACTCTTCAGGATGACTTTCACTGCACACGTCTATGTTTGCATCCTAGCTTAGGACTGTTATTTCGATGCCTCTTTTTCACCACTGGGATTGGACCACAGAGCTGTCCTGGACCAAACCAACAGGATCAGCCCCCGATGAAGCCAGAACACAAACTGTGCCCCAGCTCCACTGGGCAGCCAGAGCTCACCGCCAGAGCAGTCCTTGTCCCAGGAGACACCCCTGGAGCAAGGACAGTGTGGACACAGGGCCCAGCGACTGTAAAATCACAGTAAGAATCCACAGTCCTCAGGTGAGCTTTTATACAGAGGAGTCAGCTGCTGCCCGAGGACTCACGTGCTGCAGATATCTGCCCATAGCCTCTGCCCAAAGAACTGTAATCACTTCAAGTACCTTCAAAGCTTTGCTTCTACTAACTAAATGAACACCAGCTGTGTTACTTCCTAATCTTCTACAGCAGCCTCTCCCATACCTCCACAAATTCCCTAGAGCACGGTTCTGAGCACTGGCACTGCTGCTCTGACCCTTTTCGTGACTTAGGATGCTCTTTGTATTCACTCATTGGCTCCTCCGTGGAAACATGAATTTAAAAGTTCGTCTTTCTGAAGTGACTTCACAAGTCCCTCTCAAGGATCAGATTTTAAATTATTTTTCTTTTAGAACTCTCAGGCCTCCATACCTCAGTTCCTGGAAAAACACTGTGAAATGTGGTCCCTGACTCAGAAAGTAGCTTACAATTCCCTTGCATGAAAACGGTTTAAGAAAGGCAAATTATAGCAGAGCCGAAGAAGGAGGGAAATGCAGAATTAAGTTACAAAAGCGTTCAGACGGGCACGGCTCGGCTCGGCTCGGCTCGGCGGGGCGGGCGCGTAGCCACACTTGTAGCTGTTCTTGGTGCTGAAGGAGGGAGGTTTCGGCAGCCCGGAGCCAGGGCCATCCCGGAGGCTAAGGGACACAGCCGGGAGCACCTCGCCGGACGGCTCTGGAAGTTTGCTCCGCTCCTAAAGGCCCTGCCCAGCACACGACCATCGCACAGGGATGCCCCACGCCGCCGGGCGGGAGCCCCGGGCCGGCCCCGCGGAGCCGCGGGAGCGCAGCCCCGGCGCGGCCGCAGCGCCCGCCCGGAGCGCCCGCTCAGCCTCGGTGAGACAGCGCCACCTCGAGGGCGCTGCCCGCAACTGCAGGCGCGGCGCCGCGCGCTGCAGCGGGACGGGCTCCAGGGCCGGGGGGCCCGGCTCGGCAGGATCCTGACACCAACCAGACCTTCCCATCCTCCCACGGCACGCCAGTCTGAACTACTTTCCTTAAAGGGAACAACATTTTCTTCGCTTTGCCCGGGGCTGTCTCACTTAGAACATCATTGCTGGAAGGAGGAATTCCAGGAGTGCTTAAATATGTCCAACCAGCGCTTCCATGATCATCTTTGTTGTGTGTTACTGCTCGTGTTTATGTTAAAGGCTGGCCTCGGGCAAACCACGGGACTCACACAATGTTCAATGGGTCTTTCTACAGTAACAGTGTAGGGCCAGCAGTAAGGTCCCAAACATCAGATACTGCTCCCAAAGACGCTGGCTGGGAAGTCCAGTGGCTTCAGGACAAGACATCAGTCTGCACCAGAAGCCAAGCCTGCACATACACACCCAGTCCTGTAAATTCCTGAAGAACAAGTCAGGTCTCTGCCTCCCTGGGCAACAAACCAACTCAGTCTGCAAGCCACTTGCTCTTGCAGTCCCTTTTCTGTAGAACAAAAGGCAGAGAGTTGATTAAATACAGCACAGATAAAGAAACAGCGTAGAAGATGTATGTTACAACTGTGCATTACCATGTTTTGACACTGACTTTGAATCAGAGCAGAAACATTCAGGTCAGCTTCACAGCTGGTATATTCTTTTCTCATTCAATAAAACTATCTATAAAACTATCTATCTCTAAAATAATCTTATTCAATAGTCCGTAGCTTTAAATAACTGTCCTCTAATCAGACAATGAGCTTCTCATGAAGACATCCACCTTTTAACCAACCATGACTTCAGGATCTCGAAACCAAAGTATTTCAATGCTGACTGCCTCTCTATAACATTCTAATATTATTAATTGAAAGCTCAATTGTCTCTTCTCACAATATAAGGGGATAAAAAGTGGGAAAAGGAAAATTACACAAATATGATCCTTTAGTTGGACGCAGTAGTTGGAATATATTGGGAATTACAGCTTTATTTTGCCTTAGTGATGCTGAATTTCTGTTTTAGGTGTTTTAAATAATCACCACAAAATAAGATGCATAGTTTAAATTAAGGATAAAGAAACTAAGCTTGGCACAAGTGTTCCAACGATCAACAAGTGCTTGAATAGTCAAATATTGTATCTCCTAACAGACCACTTTGGCACATCCTGTTCTCTTCCACTGTGACTGTAAGTCTTAAAGAAATTAGTTCTATTTAGATTAAGAATTAATATCAGATTGAAAATAAACCACACCAAATACCAGGTACTAATATCTGTGGGAACATTTGTACCTCATACCCATGTCTCAACAGTTTTAGAAAGTATCTGTCAATTTATTTCACATACATGTATTTACATTGAAGGAAATTCACACCACTGAAAATACAACATTTACACATTCACAGATATACAGTTTTGCACTCTCTCCTGTGTTAAGACCAGGCACTCAGCTCTGCTATCTCTGCAATAATGACAATATCAATTTTTAGCAGATCAAACAACTGGCAGGTTTAGTGGATTTTAAGCATCATCATGCTCTGTATATAGTGGTTATACTCTTCAAGCTTTTCGATAGCAGATTATTTCACTGAAGAAAAATGCCTCCTGCATGGCATTTGCATAAGCTTCTATAAATCATAAGCATACATATAGTTTCTGTTTTACTGTGTTATCAGTGATCCTTACTCTATAGAGGTCAGTTATCCTTGTAGTAGTTATTAAAGTTAATTCGCAGCAGAAAGTCCTCCAAATGTGGTTGGTATCCTCTATTTACAAGCTTTGTTACCACTGGAAGAAAATAAAAGAAATAAAGTAAGCTTCAACTAAGATTAATATTGTAAATTCATCCTTGACAGCATCTGTGGCTTTTAACTTCAAAAAACCCCAAAACCATAATGCGGAAAACTGAGAACAAATATATATTTTAACAAAAGAAAAGTCCAGTATTTATTTCTGGAATTACAAAATATTTCAAATAAATGCAAAAGAAAGACTATGTGTCAGTTCTAAGTGAAAGTGCATTATTCTAACAAAGCATTTCCTTATTATGTTGCTTTCATGGAAGCAAAGAAATCACAGAATCTTTCACAATACAGATGGTGTGCTCCTATCACAATTTCAACTGACCAGGAAGCATGTTTAGGTCCTCAGGAGACCTCTGTAAAGAAGCAGCTGTGCTCAAGTTTTCTTGAGTGAAGTCCATTGTGAGAGAGAAAACCAAAGAAAAATTCCTAGGACAAACCCCTCACTCTATGAACGAACACACCAACTGCTCTAAACATCCTTAACTGCAAAGGAAAAAACCCAGCAGAAGCTCCCTAAGCTCACAAACATCCCATGCACCAATATCAAGGGAATTAGCAAGCAGCAGCAGCATGCAAGGAAGAAGGGGAGGTGTATTTTTAGAAGTTAGGGCCCGAGCCAAAGCCATTGAAGTCCAGACAACTTTGGATTGGCTTTCAATGGATTCTGGATCAACCCATTGTGGAAAGAGCACTTTACAATACATGGTGACTGAAGGCACAAGTGGAGATAAACAAGCACGTATTTG